TCAGCAGGGTAATGATACCCATACTGTGCTGCACATTATTGGCAATATTGAGCTGAAGCTTGACTTTGCAAATTTAAAATCGCAAATCAAATCGCAATATCTGTCAAAAAAAATTTTTCCGCAATTTGATATTTTCCTCCAAATCGCACAGCCCTAGTTCTTAGCAATGCATAGTACTAATCAAAAATGAAGTTTTGATATATTTACGGTAGGAAATGTACAAAATATCTTCATGGAACATGATCTTTACTTAATATCCTAATGATTTTTGGCATAAAAGAGAAATGTATAATTTTGACCCATACAATGTATTGTTGGCTATTGCTACAAATATCCCCCAGCGACTCAACACTGCTTTTGTGCTGCAGGGTCACTTATTTAGATTTAGATAAAATGTATATTTTTTATATTTAAATTTTTCTATTTTGTTTTTAATTTCAGCATCAAAGGCTATATTCATGGCAAACTCAAGATTAATAACATTTAAAATAGTCTTAATATCAATGCTTCAATGAACTGCAAAGTAATGATGTAAATATTATATATTTAAAAAATATATATATATAAAAAAATCTGTTTACCTGCACATCATGTGACGCAGTTTTTATTAATATTTTGAATTAGTTTTTATTTTTTTATATACTGACTTCAATTTTAATGTTTTAATAGTTTGATGTACGGTATTGACCCGAATATAAGACGACCCACTTTTCCAGATGCACCTTTTTAAAAACCAAATTTTGTCTTCAATTATTTTCATATTGCATATTTTTCCTATTTTAATTTTTGTTTTGAAAGTATGGTAAAAACTGGTCAAATGTACCAACAATCACATTTAAAAAATATACACTTTTTAAATATACCATTAAAACAAAAACAACAGGTAGCCCGTCTGAATTAGCACATTTAGGCTATCCGTCTAATAGTAGAAGTTAAATCTTACTGTAGTCTTCAAATCTGGGTTCTGTCTTACGTTTTAAAATCACAAAGAGAGTTTGGTCCCATCAGGCTAACGTGACTCGTGCAGCTGTAAGCTTTTCTTATTCTCTTTACAACACGCGTTACATTACGTATTTCATGGCACACTGGTTTTATGCGTATTTGGCGCCACCTATTGTTGTGGGTGTATTATTGACACGTCAAAGTCTAGACCCCGAATATAAGACCACCGCGTTTTTTCAGATGCATTTCCAAGAAAAAAACATCGTCTTATATTCGGGACAATACGGTATTTGTCTATTTATTTATCCTTTTATGCCATATCTACATCGTAAGTTAAAAATATATATTTTTAAATATTTAAAATTTTTATTTAAACATTTTAGAAATACTTTTACAAACAAACAAGATAAAGCAAGTAACAATTATACACAATCTTAAAATTGATAAAATTTCTAATATTTTTCCAGGACAATTTATTTTTTTTAAATGTCAATGTACTCGTTTACAGCAAGACATTCTAGTAATTAAAAAAAAAATTTTTTTTTTTACTTTTCCTTTTTTTTAAAAATATTTTATATTGTGTATTATTTCAAGTAACACGTGTTTTTTTTTTTTTTACGGTTTTACTTTTGGTCAACTAGAATACCCCTGTCCAACCAGAACCCCCCCCCCCCTATTTCTATATCCCTATT